TACTTCACTGACAGCATTGGATTACGTAATTCGATCGGGGATCTGATGGTTTATTACATTAAATTCACCAGCAGGATGTTTTCAAACATCATTAAATATATTTAAAAAAAATATTACGCTGTAAATTGTATTTGAAAACAGTTGAATGTGTAGCAAACATTAGTTTAATACTGTTAGTTAATAGCATCAGCTGGCTGGCTCGTAGGTAATGCGATTTAATTTAAATTTGAAACCGCCTCAAATCGATGCCGGGATCCGCAGCGCCTTAATGACATGATTTACATCAAGCTTTATTTACGATCTCTAATGGAACACGAGAGTTTTCTCGCTTTGGAGCGTTTTAATTTGCAAATGTATTTCGTTTTATGTGCCGCAAATAAAGTTAAATGACTATAAAATATAAAAGTGGAACAGTGTCATTTAAGTCAGGTTTATAATGATCTATATGCTACAAAAAGTACGATGACATATAGGGTTGTGTTCGTATAACTTTATCATGTTGGAGGATGGAGGAAGGTTTTCTGTCAATTTACCGGGCTCGGTAGAGTTATGATGCAATAACTTTGTACTATCTATAAAGGTTTCGTAGAATGCAATATCATTCGCGTAAGTAAATTTGATTTATAAAGTTAGACGAACATCACATTTTCATGTAAATAACATTTGTCGAGATTCTCTTGCATATTAAAAGTTTTCAAACATTGAATGAGCTACGTCTAATGAAACTGAGATGAAGTTTTTGTATTACTTTTATTCATGAATATTTTGAATTATAATGTTTGAAGTTAAATTTAGTGTAAATATAATATTATATGGAGATTTATTCTGGATCAAATATAATAGATCATCTAGGGGTTAAAAGATTTTAAGTTCATAAACCATTCTGAAGCCTATACTTTTATGTTTTATTCTTATAATAAATCAGGGATGCTGTGTGGAGTGCTTGAGATATCGGGAGTTGAATTTTTCATGAATCTCAAAGGCCGGTCAGCTCGCTTGTCTACGCGAACTCCTCGCCGATACACGTCGCGTAGACAGCGAAAAATGTCTTTTGTTTTACCTTACACCTTAAAGAGGGTTTCTGAAGAGATATTACATTCTAGAGGAGCTGAGCTTGTAAATAATGTATTATATACAACACCGTGCTGTAAATCGTTCACTTGCTATGAATTTCATATTTAATTTATTGAAAGTATTAAGGAAAAATAAGAGTCTTTTGCTATTGTATTATGAAAATGAGTCTGATTTAGAATACTGAATATGAATGTACTTTCTGGTACGTTTTGTGAAAATTGTATTACAACGTCAAAATCAAATAAAATTTCCATTTGGATTTATACAGCTCTTTTATAAGATTTCTCGGACAAAGTTTATTTAAGAAATAAATTTGTTACACATATATAAGCAAGTACTTTTTATAAACCTCTCCTTTTTTATTACCGTAACCATTGTGTTATTAACTTCAAAGTTTTTTAAATACCAAAACATCATTACAGTCCGTACACGCTTACGTATATTTTTATCTAACAAATTAGAATCTTTTTGAAGATTAAGACTTTAAAAAAAAGTATATAAATCTTACAATTTATAAGCTATAAGTTCTGTTTTACATTCAGACGAACGACGTCTACGTTTAGACGAACATACATAAAAGGCTTTCTAATGGGGGTTCTTCAATATATTGTTATAATATTACTAGGAACTAAAATCGAAGATTTACTATATTGCCACACCTTCCCAAATTCTTATATATATATATATATATATATATATATATATATATTTAATAAAATAAAAACTATTTTGTTAGTTTTCAAATCACGTTATACACAGATATTCATACATAAAGAAAGTTAAAATATCCACGAGAACTTTGGAGTTAAATCTTAGGAGTGCTTCACTGGACAAAGGGTTAGCCCTCTTGAAGCTAGACAGTGTCACGAGTTCACAGCGACTGACACTAGAGGACGCCAACCTTTGGATTTGACCTATAGTCTGGACTCCTCAATTTACTTCTTAAGGTGAATGACACCTGAAACATGACGTTATCAATAAAATCAATCAAATTACTTTGATATTCAATTTATTCATCCATATTTTTTTAATAAATTCATATTCTTATAATAAATTACTTTTTTAATTTAATCCACAAAAGCATATTAAACATTTCTTTCTGTTAAATATACCGTATCAAAAACAGTATAAATGTTAAAAAGTATAATTGTAACCAATTATATTCTGAAGGCAAAAAAATTCACCGCGCCCATATCATGAAATGCTGTCAGATCAAATTAGTATATGTTTTAATGTATTGATTTGCCCTCATTTATTAGCTTGACCCGAATGGAAATTGGTTAGGAAAATTTATGCTTTAGATTTGATATCGATAGTCACTTGATTATGAATAAATATTGATTAAAAAGAAATTGTATGAGGAAAATTAATACTTTTTTTAATTAATATTTTTACTCTAATTGGAAACTTAAACTCTTTTGTAAATATAATATTAATGTATGTATGATATAATTTTTTATCATAAAATCAGTTAGGCTTTCCCATGTTAAAACATTAAAGATTTCTTTTGGCCTCTTAATTATAACGGAGGAGCAACATTAAAAGCAAGGTTAAGTGTCATAGTCGGCTTCAATTTATTCATGCATTGTTAAACATATGTCAAGATCAAGACATTCGTTTACTTTTTATTTTTCTTTCATATTTTACTCTTTAAGTAGATGAGAACTCATACCGCTGATTCAATTATAACACTGTAAAAAGCGTTCGTTACCGTTTGAGAATATAGTTACTAAATGTAGAACCAATTCAAAGATTAATTATAAAATACTTAAACGATATACGACATTAAAAATCCTTTTTATCTCAAATTGAAAATATATTTGATTATAAATGAAATTAATTTCTCTGGATATATGTACTTAGTAAAGTAAAAAGTGCGTGTCACACGCCATCTACCCACATACTTTCACGTTCAAGTAGTTTCTTAACTATGATTTTATTTAATATTTGAATATTCTCCATAATACATATTTAATGAACAAATATCGCCTCTTACATTTTTAATAAAAATTAATTACATAGTTTCTACAACATTTCATGAAACAATGGATATAAGACACGAGTAAAAAAACTTCGTGAAATAATTTAATATCTGCATAAAATATTATACATATACATATAACACTTAGTAGTTGAAGTTGTATTTTATACTCAAGGGTAATAAGTACTTATGTATAATTAAGAGTAGAAGTATCATAATACATAATTTGATCAGTGTTCTAAATATATACATACTCGTAAATGGTCTACACTTTTGCGATTTCAGATTTACATCTCGTATATCTCGTTATGTTAAACATTGTTACCTCGTTGAAAACTTGAACACCTCCTTCAAAGGTCAGCGACCAGTTTGAAAAGAAAAAGAAAACGAAATACAACTTACTGAAAATACCGTTACAACTTAAAAGTTTTGAAGGAAAAGAACTATTAACTATATACATATAGCAATGTTGGTATGTAATATCAAATATGTCCTAAACAAAAATTCAAATGTACATTGAAAGTTAAATTATTAAGGTATATAATTTTAATAAAACTATTCTAAATGCTTTGAAAAACATTGTTCGTTTTCAAATAATTGAAAAAACATTTCATAGTACGAGAAATATTAATATTATTGCTACTGATTCCAATCTAATTTGTAAAGTAAGGTATAGTCTAAACTTCTAAAGTATTTTTAAAGATCAAAATGGTTTTGGTTTCATTGTCACATGAAGTTCGTAAATTCTTATGTTTGTGATAAAAAATTAACAAATTTTATGGAATAAATTTCAGACTCAACGTAATTTGTGTCAAATAGAATAACTATGGTTAGTAACATCTACCTGTAGAACAAACTTGACTTAAGCTGTACAGTTAATAATAGAAGTGTTAAAGAACGGTCCCAGACAATATACATATATGCAAATTGTTAGACAAAGTAGCTTATACACAATAAGTAGAACATTGGTTTTAATATAGTTATGCGAAACAGTTATAAACATTGTCACATTGTGTATGAAAATCCGATTTGAATCAGTTTCATTGATAGCGTACAGCGAATTCAGTTTGCGGGTAGGTTCAGATTACTTCAGATCATATTCAACCGCCTGTTTCCCCAGAGAAGGGTTGCGAGGGATGTATTTCTCGTCAGCATTATTTGAAGTATGTAGGCATATTATTTTCCCGCTATTGAGTACATACACTAATTAGTGATAAGTCGCCTATGACAAAATGGCAAAGAATATAATTTTATATGATTAAATGTGTTATTTCCAAATTGATTGCTATTTTTATAAATTTAATGGCGTTAATTTATAACTTCTTAGAATATCATTCAAATATCATCCAAATACATGTCCACTATGTGTGTTAACATCATTGTATCGTGGAATGTATTAACATATTAAATATGTAAGTTCTGAATGGTTTCACAAGAATCTTATATTCAAATAGCGCTTGTGAATGATTGTACTTCGGTACAGCCATGCAAAGCGTAGTCGGTCTTTAGTGTGGTACGCATAAAACTTATAATACAACCTCAACAATGCACGAAAGCTGTACTAGGAAGGATGCCTAGCAGACCGTACATCGTACACCGCCACGCCGTCTACCCCCCAACCTCCCAAAGCCCCCCGCCGGCTCCCCACTTAACTATCTTTCAGAATTTCATTTTCCGCTTAATACAGTGATGGCAGAGGCTGATTTTAATTTGTATTTTGCATATTATTGTTGTTGCATATAACATTCGTATTCATTTCAGTAACGACCTCCTAATGTTATAATTGAAATAGGTTTGTTACAATTGTTTTGAACATCTAAATTTGGTTGTGAAAATGGAGTAGATAAATATAATAATATATTTAGTTAGTCATTTACGACTGCAGATTTCTAATTAACACGTTATGAGAATTAAAAAATAGGAATAAAGATAGCCGCCATCTAACTAGAACTTTGATTATAGCTGGGGGCGCCTTGATTCTTTGTAGGAAATGTGGAGGTTTTTCATTGACTCCACTAAGCCTTTTGAGGCGGTGGAAATTATTTTCCCAAGTCCAAACTGCGTCTCGCAAAGTACACACGACCACTATAGAACTCATCTGCAATCTGTGCTGCAAACACCATAAGGGCTGAATTTCAACTCGTTAGCCGCCAACTGTACATACCTTACTTGTATGTATAGTCGGATGCGCCGCGCCACTAGTTTTGCGTGTTAAAACATTAATCATTTTTAAAAGTCATTCTACATCACATTAATGTTTTAAAGCAAGTAAATTTTAATTTATAATTATAATGACATACGTAATTTTGAATATCGAATATCAATGTGTTTTTATTGATCTCTACAGAATTTATAAATCTTATTCAAAGAAGTATTAATATTTATTATTCATCACTTCAAAGTATTACAGACAATAATGTAACAGAATAAACAAAAATTCAATTTACAGATTGATACAAAATAAAAGTACAGAAGACGTTTGTATTCATAAATATAACATACATTTTCCGGTAGACAGAAAATTGCTTGCAATGAATATGTATCGGGTCTTTGTTTCTTACAAAAGAGAGCAACATTTAAATAGAAATGGCATTAAAAGGGTAATTTTATGAGCTTTCTCCTGAAACCGATAGTGACGCTGCAAAATTTTTAACAATGAAAGTTTCAGTGAGTTTTATGTTGAAATGATTTCTGCTTGTAATTTATAATAGCTCTTCTCTAAACTAATAACTCGAGTTACAGTCAGGAAGGTAGTACTAGGCACAATGTGAGTAATTGGCGAAAGAGGTTCTAAAACTGTTCGTGCGCTGTAAATCTTCTTAGTAGGATCCCTAATTGAGTTTAACTTGATCTTCAATTCATTTACACGTCGAATTCAGATAACGTAATCCAATGATGCATTTGTTAGTAAAGGATATTTTAGATTTAATTCCCCTTCTAACTACATCGTAAAGTATAAAAATATCTTTAAAAAACCAACTTTAGAAAAATGAATAGGTCAAATTCGATTATATACGAACATATTATTGACAATATCCTTTATATTATTCTTACGATATTACTAATAATCAATTAAGTAATAAAATTAGGTAAAAAGCTTCGTCAGAACTTCCTAATTTATTCTATCGTTTGTTTATCATAACTTATTTATATTTTACATTCATAGCTTCAAAGTTTCATAATTATTATAATACAATAATAGTTTCCGTACTCCCATCAATCCGCAAGTCACGCGGCGCCGCACATTTCCGTTTCACGGATGATTTTCCTGTATTGCGCCCCTACCACGATCTTTCATCGTCGAATGAACCACACTTTCCAGTTTTTCATTCATAAATCTTAGCAAAAGAGAGTATCAACTTACGAATATGAATGAATAACTGAATACTGTCTATGTTTTGTTTGGTTTATGGGAACGCGTGGTAAGAGTATGGATATTGGATAGCTAGCATAAAATAAATAGTTGTCAATTTGGAAACACGTCTGATACTTTTTGAGTGTCATATTATCACAAGCCATTTTCAAACAAACAAGACTTATAACTTATAAGGTACTTATTTCTTGTAAAATATGAAAAGCTATTTGTTAAAACTGTCTAATACTCACAATGGATAGTGAAGGAAAGTTATTCTTGTAGAAAAGATATAACAAAAGTCAATAAGTTTACAAGTACCGATCGTGGCTTTATAATAGACTATTGTATTTCAGGTCTGACTCAATCTCGTGAGAGGGATAATCTCTAAGGCAGACATCCTCGTCTATATTCCGAAGGATATTACGGAATACGGTCCCATCCTTGTCGGGAAATAGTTTTGTCAGTTTTGCACATTTATTACTTTCGCTAAGAAAGGAAAAGTAAGTTGAAATTTTTATAACATTTTAAATAAGTATTATATTCAATGTTCACTGTAATATTTCTTATATTTTTTCTCGAACTTTAAAGTTTTCACAGTTGAATTTGTTTTAAATACATTCGAAGAAACCAATCGATTGTAATAGGAGTTGCTTTCCTAATCCTGTACAATTTACCGACTCTGAAGACCTTCCCAAGTCTTCGCCAATCCCGACATTTGCAAGCTAAGTCCCTGCATTTTTGCGACTTCACTTTAACACAGATATTGTACTGGTTTCCTTGAAATGAATCAACGTAGCTCACAAAGTATTTTATATATTTTACATTCATATTTCTTTATTTAAACTAAAGAGTGAAATCGGATAATATACAAATTGATATTTGTCATAAAAAGTACATGTACAACATAAAATAAGTGGAATATATCGTTTTAACTTTCACATATTTTAACATTTCCTTCTTATTTATGAGTTAAAGAAGATTACGTCAGATAAATGAGCTATGATTTTTATTTTATACATAACGTACCATAAATCGTTTCTTTGTTGGCAGGTTCCGGTACAGCGCTGCAGACGGTCGGTCGCACAAATCAATGTAATGTTCTGTAAGCAATCTGAAAGAAAGGCACGTCTAGACGTCCTGCGTTCCAGCATCTGAAGAGTTATATTGATGAATCAAAGCTACTGCAATTAAGCTTTACACCTTTCCTCCAATCCTTTCCCTCTAAATTATCGTTGTTTTTGTACTAAACATTTAAAACAAACAAACTAAATTTCTTTGTTATCATGTTCATATAAAAATAACTTATAAAATTATTTTGTAATATTTCAAAATGATAACTAAGGTTCATAATAATTTCTGTTTCGATGTTTCATTTTTATATGACGGAGCGTTTCAGTATACTTGATACAAAGTTTGTTTATTAACTCCCCCCTTTACGAGGCAAAGGGGGTGTTTAAAAATCATGTTTATTACAAACTCCTCCGGTGGAATGTTAAATTAAAGGATTTGAGAAGCATCTTTAGAATTAGAATTAGATGGATCTTAAAAATGGTTTCTTTGTTAAAAAAAAATCATATGTTAATAAAGATGCTTTGTAAACTAAAACATAGAAATTTTAAACCAGAAAAGATCTAATTTGTATTAGTAGCACTAGAAGATTAATTGTCTCCATGTTAACATATGTACCTACAATCCCTACTAATATTATAAATGCGAAAGTAACTTTGTCTGTCTGTCTGTTACACTTTCACGCCTAAACCACTGTACTGATTTTAATGAAATTATGTACAGAGATAAAGTTGATCTTGAAAAAGAACATAGGATAGTTTTTATCCCAGACTTTTGATAGGTTCTCTTGGAAACGCGATATAACCGAACTCCACGCGGGCGAAACTGCGGGCGGAAAGTTAGTGGAAATATAAAATACTAGTTTTTTTATTACAAATTAGTTACTAATTTACTTTGTCTTACCTTCACTTGTGTTACGTGTTTTTTCTTTACGAATTATATGATTCCTGATAGACGGGAAATTTCTATGATTTTTCATATTTTAAATCCCTTAAAATATCTGACATCAATGGTTTAAATTATTATTAGCGATTGCGGTATTAAAATGACATTATTCCTTTGTCTCCAGAGTACATTATATTATATAATAAATATTCATTACCTTTTGTATGTTTCTAAGTCTAGAAAGTGTAGCTCCTATTAAAAGCCTTATTACAATTATTATTAAAAAAACCATGCAATTAAGTTGTTAATAATATTTAAAAAAATACTGTTTAGTGACATCTAGTGGTACTAATAAGAGTTATTAGTTATATTAGGATTCTGAACGACAACGAATAAAGAATGAGTGAGAAATTATATGAAAACTTAAAATATTATTTGCTGGAGTAATAGATTTCATTAAAATGCATTCGATAATAAAAGTTTTATATTTAATAAAAATTAATGACAGAGACTTCTAGCGGAATTATAGCTATTGCGTTTTTCTTTTTTGCTTCATTATAATTGATGGCTACATTTTGTGATAGATGTCGCTTCGGAGAAAAGGTCTTAGATTCTAAATATGTATTACATATGTATTTCAAACATATATATTTTAAAGTACTGTGTTATTAAAATTAGTTATATTTTGTACACATATGTTAAAAATAAAATAATCATAACAATTATTCACAAATATATCCATAGGTATCTAATACTCCATTTAAATAAAACAGACATGTAATATTATTTACCTCAAATTATTTTTAAATTATTGCTTTCAATTTATTTTAACGTTGATAAGCATAATATGGAGTATGATAAATTTAATAAGAAGTTAAAGATTTTATAAGTGTTATTGTTTCAAATTAATTACATGTTCCTTTCGTTTCACACTCACACCAAAATGTTACATTGAAATTTTTTTTTATAAATGTACATTAAACTGTTTTTGTGTTAACAAAAATAATAAAAATCTAACATATAACAAAAAATACAAGGTTAATCCTTAATGTAACCCACAAATTTGCGACTTCGCATAAGCGACGAGGTGGCCGAGTGGTTAAGGCGTTGGACTGCTAATCCAATGTGCTCTGCACGCGTGGGTTCGAATCCCATCCTCGTCGATTACATTTTGGAAATTTTTGTTTGTAATAACTACTAAACACTAAATTCCTTATTGTTTTTGTAATTTATATTGCTGTTAGAAATACGGCTTTGACAGTGTGACTAATAGTTTCAAGAATTATATTAATGTTGAAAAACTACATATCTCCTCAAATAAATGTTTATTGTTAATTGACCTTTGAAATTGTATTATATTTACAAAATTCAAACATGTCATTGAAAACTAGATGCTCTTTAAGATTATAAATAAATACATCAAGTCTACATAAGAACAATAATTCCGAAGAATTATATTAAAAATTCATATACCATACTTATGAAGCAGAAAATTAAACACACACAACCTGTTCAGAGTTTGACAAATCGTGTTCGTAACGAATTCTTTTCATCTTTTATTACTTTTATTGTCTTAAATATTTTCTATTTAAATTAAATTAATAACGTAAATCATTGTTTGTCCTACCAAAATTTTGGAAAAAATGTAACAACTAACAATGCTTACAGATTTCGCCATAATCATCGCTATCTCTGTAATCGCCAGCGGAAAAACAGATACACCTACCTACCTAGATAATAACAGCCAGTATGGCTATCAAACTTTACGAGTTTATCTAGACCTGCTTTTTATTATCTTATCGAGTAATACTGCCCTTTATTTTACAAGTCGTACCAAGGTATGCATTCGGTGATACAAGAGAACAATTTGTGAATATTTAATAACGGTTTTAAAATTGTAATCTGTTTTCAGTGTTTTAATTAGAAATATGATATAGTAAGTGGTAATATTGGTTCTGCTGACTGTTTTTATAAGACTTTGTGTTTGTGATTGCATCAATTTTTAAGGTAAATTTGATATTTTATTATAATTATTGTAAATCGTCCATCACTTATAGGTTTTGTAAAGTGTATTCATTGTTTTCAAGGTCAAACGACTCATTTTGAATTATAGTTTTAAGTAGATGGTCAAAAACTTTTTGGAACTGTAATTCTTCATTATTTTCAACTAATAAATCAATTTTCTTAAAGAAACATTAGCATCCAGGTGTATTGAATCTATCTTAGCATCCAGGTGTATTGAATGTTGACTAATTTAAAATTTTAACCCTAGTCCACAACATGACATGATTACCATGACCTATATTGATACATTTTAGTTTCCTAGTAATCTAGTCACTAGTCATTTATAGGCACGTTTAACAATTAAATGTTGTTTCGTTTAGGCAGTACCCACTCAAGTTAAATAAAATATGTTTATTCAAAACCTACCTGAAATTATTCTTTATTTTCATTTGTATTTTTTTTTCTTGTTATAAATGTCCCAAATGATAAGAAAACAGTTTCAAGGCTAGTCGATTACGTTATAAAAAAATAAAATAGGAATTCACAACATTTGAGAACTGTATGCTTATTCTTAGAATGTGTAGGAATTATATCATAATTGTTATTAATAAATTTTCTCACATTATACCTAGTATTAACGAAGCATGAGAAACGTGAAACGCTTCTTATGTAGTGTGACTAAATGAATCATTAGAGACACTATGAGTCACAGTGTAACAAATCCTAGATAAATATATAACTAAATATTTTTTTACTAGTCGAAAGTAACTTCGTCTATAAAGAGATGTTGTATGTATATGCAATACAATATATAATCAGCCTGCCACTCCTTAACATTACTGATAATTAAATGTTAAATCGTTTACTTTTATCTAATGACACATGCACGTAATATTCTGAATTCCTATAATATGAATTTGTTGAAACTTTTTATCAATTGATCTACTTTTAGCTCTTTTATTTCGAACAACAGATACTAATGAATCGATAGATAATGTGCTTTGAGTTCAAACAACATTAAAATGCATATTGACTATTTAATCATAATTTTCATCTTTTCATGTTTCTCATTCGTTTTATATGATAGTATCGACATACATTTCATTTAAATATGTTTGATTTTAAATTGATTTAAATTGCTTCAACTCTTTAAACTGTATAATATGAAAAATAAAATGTAATTTCTCCTCAGATTTCAACGCCATGTTTTGGTTAACAATCTTCGTGTTGGCTATTGTCACTAAAGTGCAATGTCAATTAACTGCACAATCGAGTGTTGCACCAGAGCTTAGAGAATGTTACACAGATCGTTTACTAATAGACAGAAATAATTTACCACCGATGACAATACAAGTTTTAATAGATATTATACAACAAGTGGAGGATAATCCTAACGTGAATGTGGATTTAAGACAGCTTGTTATTTTGCTGCTTCAAACGTAAGTCTTTAGACATATATAAAACATTTCAAAGAGATATGTTTATGAGGATTATGGTTATAGTTTTTATATGCAGTAAAATTTTTGTAAATTTTATTTTCCAATCGTCTAACTCAGCTTTGAAATATTTACAAATAAGAGTTGGCAAGAACTTATAAAAGTAAAAAAAAATAGTTTTGAGTTATGACGTACAAAATACTTTAAAAAAAAGAACAGAGATGTTTAAATTACAATTTTTTTTTTCTTCACAGATATCGTCAAGATGGTATCGAGTATCACCAACCAGAGACGAATATGGCGTCACCGGGCGTTTTACCATTTTCCCCTACTTTCCATTCGTTTCATCGCCACCGGATTGTTCAATCGAGAATAATTCAGGGAAATCAACAAGTCTTACCAAATAACACTCTAAATTCATATCTAAAGGTTGCATTAACATTATTAATATATAATTTTAAACAGTTAAATTTACTTCTCATAAATTATATTTATATATTTCTTCACAGTGTACTCTCCACCATATGTTATCCACGGTTGTGGATGCTCGGTTACGTGGAAATGAAAATCAATGTAATCAGCTTTCCCAATATCGAGCTTTACGGACGAGCCGTGATTTAACACAACGTTTACTGAAAGATGAGGTTGAAATTCTGGACTTGAAAGCTATGTTAGTTATTAGATGGACTTTTTGTAACAAAACTTACAAATGAACAATAATTATATTTCTCTGATGAATATAGACAAATATATACAATATTTTAGTATTGAAATGTAATAGTTTAATATTCTTAAACGTTCAGGTCGTCTGTAGATACGAATGGACAGATGAGGCATAATCCAAAAGATGACGTGGAATACAACGGCGTGGATGGTTTAAAGTCTGAACGTCAGCTTCTGGGTGACAGCCAATGTCCACTTTTAGGAGGTGTGGTATATACAAGGTGGGGTGCAGTTTCCGCTGGAAATGTGCTTTCCGGTATAGCTGGTGGCGCACAATTACAAAGAGTTCCAGTGAGAGAACTTGTAAAAGGATCTGTTCTTGAACACCCAAATGTACAAGAATATGTTACATCTACCTACCCAACTACACTCTCTGGTACATGAGATTGTATTATTGTGCTATTATATTTGACTACGTGAGGCAGTTACAATTCAAATTACAATTTTTTTTCTAGGTGACTTAGCGGAAGCTGTATTGATTCAAACAAGGAGAGGGAACCCTTCAGTTTCTATCGGAGCAGCTGGGAACTGGAACTCAACACAGGCACCGAGATATTTTATGCTACACAGCAGAACAAACTTGGAGATGACCGACCCTGAGATTAGAGGAGACGTAGATGGATTTGTTTTGGGCTCTATTGTAACTTCAGCACTTGAGTCTTCCAGTTCGTTAAAATTGTCTCAACTTTTAGATATGTATTACAGCCCAAGGGTAAATATCTTTTCTAAATTTTTAAGATACTTCTGTTCAAGTCACTTATATTGAATTTTGTCATTAAGAACGGAGTGTTCGACCCAACGAGAAGAGCCTGCAATCGTCGCGATTTAATTCAAGAATTTATAACCAACAACAACTTACCCAATTTAATATCTGAAACGTACACATTTAGTGCTGTTTTGGATACCAATATGCTTTTACCTGGTACTATAATGAGGGGGCTGCAGGACCCGGTTGCTAGCGCTGTCAATAACTTCCAGACGTACACATGTTAGTAAGGTTTAATGTAATTAAATCATGCCAATATGTTTTGTTCAAGATAGTCTCTTTATAAAAATTTTGTTACAGCTAATAACCTCAACGATCTCAACTGCGTTGTGAGTGAAACCTCGCTTGATTACCGACTTAAAACCAATCTCTACATCGTTCTTGACCTTTCCTGGCCATATCAATCGATATATCCTGCTATTTCATATCTATTAGACAGTATTGAGGTTGGAAAGTATGGATCAAGTGTAACTCTATTGAACGCTTTCGACGGTAGTGTTATCGTAAACACAACATTCTCCTTGTCTGAATTCCATTCTAACTATACACAACAGACACATTGGTCATGTAAGTTAATATTTATTTATCCATTTTTTAACAAGAATTTTCTTTTAACAAAGGTAGTCTGTTCATAATATGAATACTCTTTTAATTTGGATATGAAATTTAATGTAAAAAAATAACTTTTTTTATAGAAATACTGAAATTAATATGATTTGACTTTCATTAATTACATATGAATTTAATCCCTTAATTTTTTTTGTCACATGGAGGCATCTAACGTTGTTGAATCTCATAATTTTAACATTCTTATTTCTTTTATTTTATTCAGTACCCTCTGGTGTTAATCTTGAAAGTACATTAACAAATATTCGTATATCAATGCACAGTCGGCTTGAAAACGAAAGAATAGCTAACTACGTCGGTGGAAACTCGACAGTGCTTTTATTCCTCATCAACACAGCTATAAACAATAATCAAGCTGTTTGGGAGCAAACAAGAATACTTAACGAGACAGTGCCTGGTAAGCATAACTTAATTTAAAATAATGTGTGAAAACCCCAAAACCCAAAATAAAGTTGTCTTGAACTTATTGTTCTATTTCTAATAGCAATTAATACTTTGTATTTATACGTATTTTGTTTATTACAGATTTGAGAATATTGTTTGCAACATCAACAAATCAATTCGATAGGATTTGGAATTTAGTACGCGATATGCATAATGATATCAGTGTCATCTCGTTAACTTCAGATGGGACGAATGTTGAAAATAATATGAATACAGTTCTGACAAATATTAGAAAGGGTGAGTTACATTTGTTTTAAAATTAACAACACTGAAACAATATGAAGTATGGTTTATTGCGTCAAAAACCACGATCTATTAGTTGTTGATAGTAGAAAACAGATGTGGCTTATTAATCTTCCTATTTTCCTATTACCAGTTGGACGAAGAGTAATTAATCCAGCCTGTGGATCTACTTATTCGGATACACCATCAGGAACTAGACAATTTGACGACTACGTTGAACCAGGCTACGTAAACTTTTATTCAATCTCTCCGAATTACTTCTTCCATAATAATGATAATAGAAAAATTCGCATTTCAAGAACGGGGGCAGGAGTTGGAAACCTTATAGTATGTTGGTCCAGAATGTATTCCCAGCCCAGGTAAGAATTTAATATTTGTATAAAGAGGAGAAAAAGAGTCTATAAAGTTTAATACATTCTGATTATGTTTAATGTTTTATTTGAATCGATGACGATTTTATTTTCTTCTACATATTTTAGACAAAATTCATCAGTAGTTGTGGTCGAAGAAAATGCTGTAACGTGTCAGACATTAACCTCTGGTAATGTGGAGATTAGATTGCAACACTTGTGCAGTGGATTCTACACCATAAACTCTTGTCCTTTCTTCTACTTCTCCGTACAGTCCGTTGTACCAACGCCAACGACATTATCTGCAATTTGTACAGGTAAGAGACATATTATTATATTGTATTCAGTCAAAATAACTGGACTATATCACTACCCTTGTTTTCCAATCAAAACGGAATCAAATAATTAGTAAAAAACTAAGCCATTATTAAATGAGGGTCACCAGTCACGTGTAATAATTATCAAAAATGTTTAATACCTTCTCTTCTTTTCCAGAAAACGCGTGTAGATTCCCATACAACATCAGGTATCAAGTGCAAATAGAAGAATTTGGATGTTACAGTAGCGGTGCCTCTATTGGAGTCAGCATAGGCCTTCTACTTGTTACAATTTTCTTAAACCTTCTTTAGTTTTTATCAAGATTTTAGAGAATTTATATTCTATTGTATGTGTTTGGATAGTGTAAAATTGTGATAATACACAATTATCTTTAATCATTTATGTCGTAGAGAAATAAAATGTTCATTAAATTTATTTCTTAGGATTGATTTAATTTCGGTTGAAAATACGACAGCCCTTTAACTTATTCATTTATATAATATAATGACATTTACAATTGTTTTTCTGTTATTTGCTTTTATTTATATTATTTTAATCACCGCCTTTGCAATAATTGTTATATTTTGAATGACACAGGGTACATAAACCACCAATTTAAAATTATGAGTTAGGTACGTGTATAATTTTGTATTAAGTTTTTTATGCTGTAATTTAATTTTTATATTAGAATTATATAATTTTATCATTAATTTATCTGTAATATGATTACATGGAAATTAAAATTTACAGGTTTCTTAATCAAAAATAATTAAGTAGGGTTAAATCTTTATATGTATCATTTCTATAGTTAATAAATTTTATTTGAAAGTTTTTCCAAGTTCGTTTTTACAACCATGTGTTCATTGGCAACCGTTTTAAATTATTATATGAATCAGATGACCTTTAAAAAAATAAAGTACAATAATAGTTATTAAAAAGAAAATAATTGAATGAAACGACTCCGAATTAAGGCTTATTATACAATTGTATATCTGCGCAATTACTATTATTTGAATAATCAATATTTGAGGGTGGTTCAATTACCAGGTGTGACCTGCATTGGTGTCTATGTTGCAGGGATCAGACCTCTTCAAAGTAAGGGATTCGTCAAACCAGGTCCGAGGCTACCTTCGATAGCCTCAGATCCTGAAGACGGTAAAGAACAAAGTCATCGATAATGTCAGTTAAACCGACGTCACTCTTTAAAAAAATCACAGTGCCATTTAGTCCGACATATATAATTTCAATATTTTATGTTTTTTTTTTACTTCAACTAGTTTTTATCACTTTGATTCTGTACTTTTTGGACTTTTTTTGGGTATAGGGAACGACAAATGCAAGTTTTTTAGTGAAGTAATTTTATTGTTAAAAGTAAGTAACAAATAAAACTAAATTCAGTGATTCATATTGGAATACATAATAATTCATATTTGAAATATATTTTCATGGTCATTTGCTTAAACAGACCGTTTGAAATTACATTAAAATTAGTCTAATTGGTCTTATTCATACACTCGTTGCTTTAAATACCCATAAGCTACCGGTATAATATTTTCAAATAAAATTAATTAATTAAAACTGATTTTGTGAGGTTGTAGAGCTTAGCTGTAGTCAATTACTATATCTCGAACATGGGTTGGCTCGACCGGGGAGGTACCACTCTCTCACAGAAAATCGGTGTTAAGTAGTCTTATTTGGCTGCGTTTTGTCCGGTGAGTGAGAGAGCCGCTTCCCTTTTCCCACCCTTTCCTGCTCTTTCTTTTCCTCCCTTTCACACCTTTTTCTCCCCCTTTTCCCCAATCAAGGGATGCAGTACATCCGCAAATTTACGTTGCGGATATCTTTGGGCGACGGTACTACCTCGGTTGCCCCCTTTTCCCACAAAATATATGTCTTTAAACGCTTAGTATCACATATTTATTGAATACTTTATACTTTATAATACTTTGTGACGTAGAAAAATAGGCTTCAAAATATTTTACATATTTTTAAAATGGAATTTAAAACATTGAAAAAATTTGAGCGGTTGAAACAACGTCATTGCCTGATGTCACACGACACATCCAGTGGGTCGTTACTGTGAACTTTTTAGTTACTTCGTACATATTTACAGTTTTAACAACTTTGGCTAGGTAGGGAGCTTGGACAGTGGAGGTGAGCGTTTAACGAGCGTTAGATAGGGGCCCCTTAAACCTACACGTGGGTCGCAAGTCCCAGGCACTGCTGAAGCTCCTCTCCCTGGAACGCGATGGACCCGACACCCGCACGGTGAATCCATTGAATGCTAAGAGATTTCGTCTCTTCTCGTCTCTTTGAAAAAATTTAAGAAGGTTATCTTATACGAATTTGGTAGTACCGGAGCGAACTTCACCAATAAAACTAACTGTTGTAACAAGAAAATTGGTTTTGAAAATACAGCGGATACTATTTCTACATCATTTTATTCTTCTACGATCTCTGCTGATAATATGAACCAAGTTATCAATCTGAGTCGAGGGCTGTGCAAAATGATTGACAGGATAAGAAACAGTTTAAAAATGTAATGTGTAGTAGCATGCCAACTATGTTCAAAAAAGAGTCAAAAATATTGTTAGGATTGTGGGATCTACATAATACCTACTACACGCAGCGTCCATACATAACATCAAGCATATGAACGTCGCGAGCCGAAGGCGCGCGGTTACTAAAGCGTAGGAGCACATACGCAGAGTTTGTATGGACCATACGCAGAGTTTTGTATTTTCTAATATAGTGTATTATCTATGGTATGGTCTATGGACTATGGACGCAATAGGCGCGTATTTATGCGCCCCTCACCTCTGGCGACGGTGCGCCCCTCACCTCTTGTACAATTTCGTAAGAAATAATAATTATTCTTACATACATACTCTCTCGCTATTGGTAGAAAAGCCAATGTTTTGATTGGTACATAATTTTACTAAAGATTTTGTTTTTGTTATAGGCCTTCTGATTGGTAAACTTGTAATTAAATTGTAAGTCACATTATAATCCAATTTCATTGGACATATTGTAAGTTTTTTATTGGAGACGAATTTCTGTAAATATTTTATTGGTTATTTATACCTAATTTTTAAATAAAATCATGCCATCATTTCATCTGAAGCATCAACAAGTCTATTACTCAAGAGACTTCCGAAATAGTTAGGGAAGTAATAAATCCCCTACACTATCATTTAATAAAACTTTTAAGTGAGAATATTCCGTTTCCTATTAAACATATCAATAACCGTCAAGTAAATTAAATTAAATGAGTCTCAACTACAATCAGCAGTTCTTGTATCCTCTACAAGTTTAAATTATTTATTTTTTCAGAAAAACTTGTAAAACAGTATGATTTTCGACGCTGTTGAATGCAATCATCGACATATAAGTAGGTACTAATGGACATGCCTTAGAGATGAGAATTGTGGCACTTCGAAAGAAAGAGAAGAAACGAAGTGTCGGTCTATCTTTATCTCTCTCAGAATAGTATAGTCCGTTAGACTTAAGCTGAGCTTTGCATTTTGTGACTGAAAGTAAAAGTAGAGTTAGACAAAAAACTTTTAGAATTAAATTTTATTATATTTAAATAGATACATATCACATAAGTGCGAGAGTTTTTCTAGATTAAAAATAAAATAATCAAAACATGTAAAAGGCTAAATGAAAATATTATGGAAAAAAAATTATTAGGTAAGCAATAAAAATTTTGAAAAAACAATACATATTTTTCTTTACTTGACATTGCGTTTTCAACATTTGTAGTTGGTACTAGTACCTACTAAGGCCTCGGCCTCGAATTTTGCGGGCAGCACGATCTTACGCGTATAATCAAATGGACCGACCCTCGAATACAGCGGTGCCCGCTGCCCGCTAGTTTGGAGAACAGTATGCGTTTCCGTGCCGCAGCCGCCGCCGCCGCCGCTCCGCTGCCCGCAAAATTCGAGGCCGAGGCCTAAGGGTGAAGTGCGGAAGGTGCGGGGTGAAGTAAAATCAGAATAAACTGGTTAAAAACTAGTAAAGAACGTGGCAATCAAAAATTCTACATCACACCTACACTATCCGTGTGCATTCACACAAATGCAAAGTTCAGCTTAAATCAAACGCACTACACGTTATGAGCCCCTGCTGGATAATTGATATACCGTGCTTGTCATGAAAACTGAGCGCCAATCATCTATGAGGAAAGAGATAGTGCTAGACTGAAAGCATAGGCCATCTCTCCCACTCCTTGCAAACCAAAAAAAATACTGCAGATAATACCTAATGTTACCTTTGCATCAATATCACAATTTTACAATGTATCATTCATGAAAAGAATGTGATATTTATGAAGCTCGTTATATTTTTTGTTATTTACAAATATATAAAATAAATTATTATTTATCATGTCACTTACACAATCACAAATGAACAGAAATTGTAGAACAAAAACCAAAAATTCTAAATATAAACAAAACTTTAGTAATACTAAAAATATTGAAATAATTTGTTCTGACATTTTGATAACTGACTCTATAAACTTCATAAAATTTCAAACGTCAAATTAACATTTGTTTACGAAAGGCAATTTTCCAAATAATTATAACAAAAGCAATGTCTGCTGAAGATTGTGATTCTTTTGATCGTGGTGACAATGATGGCCAAAAGCCTGATAAAATGTTTACTCTCAAAAAGTGGAATGCTGTGGCTATGTGGAGCTGGGACGTAGAATGCGACACTTGTGCTATTTGCCGCGTTCAAGTTATGGGTGAGTTTTGTTTACTTGTTACTTTATTAAACTCTATAATATAGTCACTGTGAAACTAAATAATTATTATAACAAGTTTTGTTGTCTGTAGCTGGAGTGGCTAGAATAAAAATTATGAATTTTTTAACAAATGCATCCATTACAATAATATGTTTTTAAATATTAATACATATATGTAAGGATCAGATCAGTTACAGACAGTAGCACATTGTAGTAATATACATTTATAATTTTTATTCTAAAACATGGGTGATAAGCTTTTTAAATAATACTTTTATTATTTAACTTATTATTACAGTGCTTTCAACCATCTCCAATAATGAAATTTTTCAGAATATAGATTAAGAAAATATAAATTGAACTTTTGTTACTGTAACTTATGTTCCACTTCGTACAGAGCTACATTCACATCTTGTTATTTTTAAAGAATAAGAAAGACAAAAACAATAATCAAGAAAATTTATCAAAATAAGGATCAGGCTGAATAATTGATTTAGATTGATATAATGATATTAATTTTCAGTGAAACAGTCTGAATATTGCAGTGTACATATATATTTTTTAAAGTTATAAAGTCGGACATCATCAATGGCACATTAGTAACTTTCTCTTAATATTCAAGATTTCAATTATTTTTATTATAAATTACTATTTTATAGTGTATTTAGGTTATTATAATTTTTTTATTGTATATAATAATAATAATAGAAGTTTATTCAGGTATCATACTTAGGTGAATTAAGTTGAAAAAAAACATAATATTTAACACACAATAAACTATATCTACCGATATTACAGCATAATATATATACTATTTTAATGGCTGCTAGCTATTCATAAAGCTGATTTTCAGCTCACATTGACTCATATGAATACCGCCAATACAAAATTATATAAAAATAACTAGTTTTTGCCTGCAACTTCGTCCGTGTTTGTTTCAGAATTAGAAATGTAGAGCTAACCCGGTGAACTCTGTTCCTCCTTAAAGCCAGTAAAAAAGAAGTTTTGGATATTATCAACTTTTTTCTTTTTAATCAGATGAAAAGTATCCTATGTCCTTTTCTTGGTTCTAAGCTATTTCTCCACCAGTTTTCAGCCAAACCCATTTAGTCGTTCTTCAGTTATAAATACCGTAACTAACACGACTTTATGCAGAAAATTAACTTATTTTATTTGTTGATCATTACTCGATTATTTTTTTACTAGAAATTTATAGACAACTTCAACACATCTTTATTGTTTTAGTACTATGTGGATTGTTAGAAAAATGCACTCATACAGAGCGGTACATGTATAAATTTATTTTTAGTAAATAAATAATATGTTACTGTCACAGTTTTAGCAAACAAAAATCATTTTATGAATTTTTTAAAATTAAGATTTTCCTTTAAGCAATAAGTGTTAACTTTTATATAAGTTATTTGGAATAAAAGGTATATTTTAGTTAATATACAGTAACCCCTTATATATGACATACTTTTGTACTTAGTTTCATATAATTAAATTTGTTAGTATATGTATGTATATTATTTCTCTTTTTAGAAATTATATAACTTTAAAGTAATAGGGAATGAAAAGAAATTATTGCAAAGTAGTTTTTAATTTGATGTGTTATTTATCATTTGTCCTTATCTAATAACATTTTTGGAAACTTTAATATTTCACTTACAATAACACAAAACAAGAATAATTTATTAACACAAACTAATTATGAGTAAACATTTCTACATACCTATAGATGTCTATTTCTATAAAATATTTATAATTGAATTTATGTATGTACATTATAATATTATTCACCTATAAAAAATATGAATATATGTCATTATGAATTTGTCAAATGCTGAAAACTACAAAATTAAATTGCTCATAAATTAACTTATTGAAAATATATCAAGTATCATATATTGTTTTTGTAATATGTTGTCATATAAAATTATTTCTAAAAGTACGTCAAATTGTAGTCTTTAGAAGCCTAGCATCCATTTGGTAGTGGTTTTATGTTCGCAATCGAACTCATCCTGCGTGACCTTGCTTTTCTTCCTGTCATTTTATTCTCTATTTGTTCAAGACTTTTACCCCTGGTCTCAGGCACAAACACTATAACAAAGAACAGTCCAACAAAACAAATACAACCAAATAACCAAAACGTACCAGCTGGTCCGATGGCTACTAAGATATTGTGAAATGTTTTTGTAACAGTGAAAGTGCATAACCAATTAAAAGCAGTAATTATAGATGCTGCACCACCTCTGATTTTTGCTGGTAAAATTTCCCCCATCATTAACCAAGGTATCGGCCCAAAAGCCAACGAAAATCCAAGTAAATAAAACATTACACTTGTCAGTGGAAGCCAGCCTAAGTTGGTGACGTCCATATGTAATGTGTCTCGAACGTAAAAGAAAGTTCCTAGAACTATTAGCGTCACGGTCATTGTAACCGAAGAAATGTAAAGTAGTATTTTGCGTCCAGCTCTGTCTATGAGAGCAGTTGCTAGGAATGTTGAGATAAAATTGACTAATCCGACAATAATTGTTGATAAATTACCATCTACGGAACTGCCTGACATATTAAATATTTTGACCGTGTAAAATATCACGGCGTTAATTCCCGAAAGCTGCTGGAAAAGCATAAGACCCAGAGCTATCAATATAGACTTCATGTATTTCATTTTCAAAATCTCTTTAAATTTCAAATCGCTACCAACTTCAGCGTCTGAAAGAGCTATATCACGCATTTCATTATCTATTTTAGTATTTTTGCCCCTCAACCACTGGAGAGCTTTACGAGCTTCTTCGTTTCTTCCTCGTAATATGTACCATCGAGGAGTTTCTGGGATCATGAACATAAGAATAAGGAATGGAATTGGCAGTGACGCCCCTAGATACGCTAATTGTGACCAATCAAGGTATTTTCCAGCAGTATAGCAAATTAAAATACCGATATTGCCAATTGCTGTTGGAAATAGACCTAAAGTGCCTCTCACTTCGGGTTGAATTGTTTCTCCGAGGTATACCGGAAAGGCTAGGGATCCAATGCCGACACATAATCCACATATAGCACGTCCTATGAGTACCAAATGAACAATTCTTGCAGTAGCTATTAAAATCCAACCGACAAAGAAGGGTACAGCTGTGAGTAGTATAGTTTTTCGCCTGCCAATGTAGTCAACCAACGGGCCGCCGAGCACACCACCAGCTAAGGCCGCTAACGGCATTAGTCCACCAACCCAACTGGCCTGTCAGTAAGCAAATAAAATTTTATTTAATATTGACTATATCAAGCATATATGTATGTATATAATATTAATTTATATTCATGACGTTTCACCTTTTTTGTGAATATGCCAAAGTTTTTACTGCAACAGGTAAAATAAGTTTGTTTTTTGTAGCTATTTTTTACGTTAAAAATTCTAAATTCTTTCGGCTATTAAGCTATGTATGATCACCATTGATATTCACTGCAACTTAGAAACATGAAGATTGGTAGATTGCGATGTTCTTTGTATTGTAGATTGCGAGGTATAAAGACTAGTACAATTTCAAATAGTAACTTCAATAGTAGAAAATGCGTACTTGTTCCTCAGTGACGGATATACTTGTGCTATTTTCCATGGTGACAAGGGCAGGTGATGTGTAGGCTGAGGAATAACCAACGATCATGGAACCCATAGATACTGCGACGGCAGCTAACACCTGAAATTATTACAATAAACTATAATGTTATTAATATGTATCCGTATGTATGTATGAGAGTGTATAAGTTTATAAACACATGAAGTGTAATGGCCTTGGAAGCAAAAATAAGAAGCCTATGTTTGGTTGAAACCCTTTTGATACAAAAGATTTTAAAAATCTTTCACAAATACCATAATTACAGTAGAATAAACGTCATATTCAAAATTAAGCTCTTAGAAATGATAAAAAACTCCAGCTATAATTAAAATTTGCTAGTAACTAATGAAAATGTTTGTAATACTATAAGTCATACGAATACTATGACGTAAACGGCCAATTCCGTTGGAGGTGTGTACCAACAAGCTGACATCAATTTAAACAATCACCAACAATCATTGCTTCCAATTATTACGAACTCCATGTAAATGACACCACATTCTTTCCTTTTCCAACTGATTTATTGCCTCGGAGGGTTTTTTTGCTATGATTTTTTCTTTTCCGAATTGATAACGTAACGAACCGTGTAAAATCGATGCGTGTATTCAAACTACAAGCATATTGTTGTGTTTTGAATTTACAAAAAAATAATATTTAGAATATATGAATATGAATGTTTGTACTTTCTATAAACCGAAATTTTAGATATTATTTATTGGTAAGGTTGTGATATATTAATTATTTTCGGATTCTCCTTCTATATATCTCCTATTGTATAATATAATTCAAAAGTCCATATATTACATATGTATAATAACTATCTCAGATTTTGATGTCTCTTGATATATATAAAATAAAACACTATATATAAATAAAATCCTTTGTCTTTATAGAATTATACACTTGACTAGATATAAATAAGTAAAATGAAGTAAGCTTTCAGTGTTAATGTACATCGAAAAAAATTGACCGCTATAAAGTATATACCATCGGACATACATATTCATATAAAAAGTAAGTAAATACGGAAACGTACCTGAGAAAATGTATATTTCGGCTTAACATATTCACTTCCACTTACAACTATACTGTAATGAGTATCGGCTCTCATTAAAATCTTCATTTTGAACAATTATTATGTTACTCGTAAGAAATCACATGGGCAATTAATATAATCGTTATATTCGAAAGACGTGAATCTCAGATAGCGTTGTATATAAATGAGCGGCTCTCGGCGCTGTCCAAGCAATTTATATGGCCACAAATTGATTGACAAAACTGATTGTCTTTCGAGGCTACTGTTCAAAAGGTTTCTGCTTTTTGCGGCTGAAATTCACAATATTCGTATTATTTGAATTATGTATTACAACATATAGAATAAATTATTATATTTTTAGGCGTGATGACCTAAGATAAATAGTCATCATATGTTTCTTTTAATTATTTTACGTAATATTTCAGAATCCTATTTTAGTATTACATTAGTTACATAATTATTCTTTAGAAATATTATTTTTGTAAATAACTTAAGTTATTATCCTAATTATCTCAAACTAATTAACATATATTCTTTGTCTTATATATTATATATCAAACAATTGCCATTTAATACATGGTCTTAAGCAAAAAATTCGATCTCAGCACTTTTGTATGGCTGTAAAAGTAAAAAAAATCCAACTTAAACTTTGAATCTCCAAAAAGTATTTAATATATCATGATTTTAATACGAGTAATATTAACACTAAATTCTGTATATAAATGTGAAAGTTTTTTTTTTATTTACTGATCAATCTGAAATCACTAATCTGAATTTTAGTTTTATCCATCTAATAAGGTAAAGTAAGGAATGTATTCTAGTGGCAAATTTAAAATAGTCTAGCGAAGTCTCATGAAAAATTAGTGTCATATTTTCTTTTATATTTTTAGTTTATATAACTGCGAATGGCGAAATTCTTTTGTGTGTTTGTGTTTTACTATAAATTACATATACCAAAAATTAAAACCCATTTGAGTTGAATTTTACTTAAGAAGCTGAAATACCTATTATTAGGCTTTTAACAATTTATTGTTTTAACACAAGTACTTTTGATTTTATTTATTAGAGTTCTTCTTTATTTAAATTTAAGTATCTATTAATATATGTATGTACGTTCGTAATTATTTTTGTCGTCTTGTGTTTTAATCTCTATTCATGAACCCATAGTTATAAGTTACCAAGGACATGTTTCTTTGTTATATAATGCTTCTCTCACTAACATTATAATAAGAAAGTCCTTTGTTTGCCTCTTACACCGGGATATACTCTATTTCTAAAAACTTATACATATATAGTTTTTTGCTCTTTGAATCTTCATTACTTGGGTCCTGCGTATTTCATAGATTTTCATATAAAGACGTCAGAGAACACATGTTGTTTGTAAGTTTTCTGACTCTACGATAAACAGGTTTTACGGTTGTAATCAAAGTATGAAACATACCTATATGTTCAAGAACTTGACACATTTTATTTCATACTATATGACACCCGCGACTTTGCTTTGTTGTTACGTTATTATTATAATATGAAATGAAGATATTGCTATATTTTTTTAGTTTAGTTCGACTGTGTGAGACGAAACTTCTATACCTTTACAAAACTTAAAAATTTGTTTGTTATTTGTCAAATATTTGTACTGTGATGCACAACTGTAGACGTATCATTTTATTTATATGGACAATATATTTAACTTTGTGTATTTGATCGTCAATACACTGGGATAAGTTCAGAAGAAATAAGTCGTCGTCTTGGTAGTATCACCAAACCCTTTGCATGTTTCCACATCGTCCACACAGTCCATGCATATAAATTTTCAACTAAAGACTGCATAATAATCGCGTTATTTCATTTCAAATTCAAGTGTAAGTTGTTGATCTTCATCCCCACATATTCCACAGAATCCTTGGGACTTTAAAATTTCTAATATTCCATAATGGCTGCTTAATCGCCTAACCTGTTAACTAGCGTATCAATTTTGCAATCTTGGGGATCTTACGAACAGAAATAGAGGAATGGTTTTTAAGAAAGTACAACTGTGACTTTTCTATGTGCAAGTGATGTAAAGATAATGTATATCCCCGAATAATATTCAAATGAAACAAAATTGGTAAAACTTGTTGAAACAAGTTTGTTTAATATAATATTTATTACGTGACTTTTATGATTATATTATATATTATTTATTAAGTATATATACTAAATATATGAACAAGTATTTATAATTGTAATATATAGCGAACTAGCTTTTCGCCCGCAGCTTCGCCCGCTTGGAGTTCGGTTATATCGCGTTACAAAGAGAACCTTTCAAAAGTCTGGGGTAAAAACTATCCTGTTCTTTCTCAAGGTCAACGCTATCTCTGTATCAAATTTTATTAAAATCAGTTCAGTAGTTTAGGCGTGAAAGCGTAACAGACAGACAGACAGACAGAGTTACTTTCGCATTTATAATATTAGTAGGGATGTTGTGAGTCATGTTTTACATTTTTAAATCATAATTGCCTTAAAGAAAATTTCGTATTCAATAAAAAAAATCAGATACTGGTCATTCCTTGTATTAATATTTGACTTATTAAATGTTCACTACTATTTCATAGGATTAAAAATATTGTTTGGGAATTAAAGACACTTATTATAATAAATTAAATGTTAAAACACGTTAGCATTGCATATTTTATAACTATACATATATTTAAGGTATGTTCGTCGGATGGAAAATAAAACAAGAGTCGTGTTAGTCATATGTGTGATACAAATAAAATAAATATTAATCCCGTAATATACGAGGTCTCTAAAGTTCTTATCGATAAATACGGCCTTTAACACAACACACGTTGACTAACATTAAATCACTAAATGTATTTGTCATGATCGAAATACAACTATCTTAAGACCATAATGATTATTACATTAAGATTCGTATGTTTAATACAAAAATATTGCGCCTCAGATATTTTACTGGGTTACATTGATATAAAGAGAAAGCCAAACGCCTTAAGCGTTGTACACCAACATTAAACATTATAATTTTTTTAACACTTATTTACATTATGAAAGGAACTATTTTTTACTTAACTAAAATTTCTACAACTAAATCTATGAACTAATCACACTCTTAACGATCCAAATCAGTCTTCATACACGCTTTTAAGGCGTCACATAAAACATTTCGCCCAATATATAATATTACGTCAATAAACACAGGAGCTATAAATCGCGTCCTGGAATGTTACGTATTTATCACAAATTTTGACAATTTATATTAATTAATGTGTTCTAACAGCCGCTACTAGGTTTGTTTGTCGCCGCAGTCCGTACTTTACGAGAGCCACCTGTCAATTTCTTCTCGATTTCTTCTAAACTCTTCCCTCGGGTTTCAGGTACGAAAAATATTACGAAAAGTAGACCAATTATACATAACACAGCGAACATCCACACCGTTCCGTACATTTTAATGATCAAAATAATGTTGCTGAATGATTTCGTTACAATAAATGTGCATGTCCAGTTGAATCCAGTCGCTAATGAAGCAGCAGTACCGCGGATCCTGGAGGGTAGTATTTCTCCTAACATGAGCCACGGGATAGGTCCGAAACCGATAGAAAATCCAAGCACATATATAACAAGACTAGCTAGAGGCAGCCAGCCAACGCTGCTCACATCTGTACCAGCGTCTATCAGATAAAAGTATGCTCCCAGAATAACCAATGTCACTATCATTGCTGTAGATGAAATATAAAGCAACATTTTGCGTCCCAACCGATCGATAATGGCTGTTGCGATGAATGTTGACACAAAGTTGACAATTCCAATGATAATGCTGCTAAGATTTTCATCAACAGTACTGCCAGCCATCTTGAATATTTTTGAAGCATAAAATATCACAGCATTAATACCGCTTAGCTGTTGGAACAACATCAAGCCGAGAGTGATTAGAACTGCTGGTAGATATTTCCTAGAGAATAATTGGCCGAAGGTGTTCGCTCCCCTTGTTAGATCAGCTTCAGCTTGTGACCGAGTGAGTTCTCTCATTTCCTTGTCAGTGTTAGCATTTTTTCCTCTCAACCACAGCAGTGCTTTACGTGCGTCGTCAACTCGGCCTCTTGCTATATACCATCTAGGTGTTTCTGGTGTGAGGATCATTAATAAAAAGAATGGAACTGGCAGAGCCGCTCCGAGGAATGCAAGATTTGACCAATTCAAATAAGTCCCAGCGAAGAAAGCCAAAAGTATTCCAGTGTTACCGAACGCTGTCGGTAGAAGTCCTAAAGCGCCTCGAACTTCTGGTTGTATCGTCTCCCCGAGATATACAGGATAGGCGAGTGTCCCGACTCCAACGCATATACCGCAGAAAGCTCTTCCAGCAAGCACCATGTATACATTCACAGCGTTCGCAATCAGCATCCAACCAATGAAAAATGGTATAGCAGTGAACATTATTGTTATCTTTCTTCCAAAGTATTCTATGAAGAAACCTCCTGCGACACCGCCGACCAAGGCAGCCAGAGGCATTAAACCGCCAATCCAGGTCTCCTGTAGAATACACAAATGATAAGGATTTTTATATGATAAAGAATATTAAAGGATTCATATCCTTTGATTATTACTTGATATTAAAAATTTATCACTTAAATATGATTTGTACTGACCTCTTCGGTGCTGATTGTCATTGTTTTGTTCATAGTTTCAAAAGCCGGAGACGTGTAGCCCGACGAGAATCCAACAATCATGGACCCCATTGATACAGCGAAAGCTGCTAATATCTGAAAAGAAAATATATGTTCAGCTACATTTTTAAACAATAACTACATATATATTTATAAATCATCATGAACCTCAAATAATGAATTATTCGACATTTCAAATTATCCTACGTAAAAATACGTAGTTTCCAAGACTTAGAACTTGCATGTCTGGACATTGTTGAGCGATTCAAGCTTTTATGTAGCTTGCTAGCCCGCAAATACAGCTATAACATAAGTGTATTTTGCTAAGCAAACACCATAAAACGAAACAAGGTTTACTAAAGCCCTTTAAGTCGCTATTACTTACACAGGGTAAAAAACTACTTTTATAAAACTTCATTGAAATAAAGTTAGCCACCGATAAATAAATATACACAGAATTTTATTCTACGGAAATTTCAATACTTTTGAGCACTGTTCATTAAAAATAGTTGTTACTAACTACAAATAACTCTCTTAGTACGATTTTTAATTGGATTCTTATCAATATGCAATCGTGATTAATTTACTACTTTCATAAAACAGCGTTAAAATGGAAATTTTTGCAGAATTAATCTATGCATTATTAGTGAAAATGATCTTTGAACGTACAAGTATGTAATCAATTGTTCGTCTACCAACCTGTGTCCACAGATATAATCGCTGAGTGGTAACACCATACGGTGGTAGGTCGCCATTGATGGTATGATCAGTTTTTACTTTATTACTGTCCAAACTCAATTGCTTCACGTATGGCTGAGAATTCCGTAGGTTCTCCTCTTTGGTTTCCAATTCCATTTTGTATTTGAATTCGTTCCCGAGACTGATCTGTCTTAATTGCTGGAAGTGACGGCGTGTTTTCTCAAAGGCGTCCTGTTCGTCCTCGCTGCTGCTCTCCGTAGATTCAATCTCAGGGATCGTAGCGTAATTCGGCGCAAGCGTTCCCTGGGAACCGCATGAGGTCGCAAGGGAAGTGCATGTAGTGGATGCTGAGAGACTCGGTCGAGTTGGTACCCTCGCGTACTTAGGTCCACGCGAACGGTACAGACGCTCCTCGTCCTGTTGCCTTTGATGACCCTGCTCGCTTCCACCCTATACAGAAGTATATCGTCAATTATATTGAAAATAATCCTATATAGCCCTAATACATTATAAAAAATACTGCAGCTTTAATTTAGCCAACACTAACTTTTGAAATGGTCAAACACGATCACAACATAACAATCACTGATGCAGACATCCGCAAACAAGTTCCATTTATTTTATACACTATCTTATGTGCGTAAGACTGTCATAATGATAAAGTTTTGAACTTAGGCTAGGGTCAAATAAAGAAAACATTGCTTATTGACCACAATCAAGCATTTACCCAAAGCATGTTCCGATAACCTAATTAAAAATTATACCCTGAACCTGTCACTTATGAGTGAGATCAAAGGTTCTAACAATAATCTTTTTGTCTAGATAACAATGGTTCAAATAAAACTGAATGGACCGTACCACTGTCTGCGAATATTCAATTCAGTTTTAACGTTCATATCGATTTTGGATGTTATCAGGTAGCTGTCGACCGATGTAATGATGTTTATAAAATACAGTTCTTCGTTCTTAAACGAACCTGTCAGCTGTTATGTTATAGGAATAAACATCCACGCGTTCGCTTTGTTCACATTTAAAAAAATACAAACATTGCTATTTATTTTAACGATTGGCTTCAATTAAATCGATTCGGCATTTATAACAATAATAAAAAATATTTCTTATAAGGATTACCTCTGATTCATCACTAAATGTCTTATAATTGTAAATTTTTGTATGTTTTTTTTATTTCTGTATTATTTCATTCACTAAAATTTCTTTCAACTTTATAGCTAAAAATCATATCATATATTTTGGCATGATAAATATGTTGTTTAGTATTATTTGACTTTTATTATCTATAATGACATTTAAATATTTGAAAAAGGTTTGATATGATATCTTTTTAAATTATTATTTGCACAGTTCCAACAAGTCTTATACTATACATTTCTTTATATTGTTAGGTACCTTATTTACCAAGAATTATTATGACGGCTTTGAACTTTCGTGTAAGGGTCAATAAAAGTATCACGTGCCTGATCATGCATATTGCAATTGAAATGAGTAATAAAAAACATTGGAGGTAGTTTTCCTGTATTCAGGATTTATACAAAATTGTGGAATCAGCAATTAAAAAAATCTAATAATTTTTTAAACAACCTACTACTATTAACTAAAATATAACCGGAAATATAATTTGTAATGATGGCTAGCATTTAATTCAGCCGTGTCATAACCTTTGGAATTGTAATTTGTTTTGTATTTTGGTTCATTCCTGTACAATATTTTTGTGTATTGTTAGTTTCAATTGATTTCATTAATAGAAAATATGTCCGAATAAATAATGATATCAGGCTTTGCAAACAAACAAACAATGACCTATGTTGATGTATTTTAATTATGTAAATTCTTGGTTTTCTTCTAACAACAGAGTATATTTAATTATAATTTCTAAGATAAAATATTCAAAAAGACTATGTAACGGACACTATTTAAATATATTGTGACAGTAGAATAAAATTTTAAGAAAGAGCCATCTAGTGAAAACTTCCGAAATTATCAAAACGAATTGTGTAGCAGATATCTTCGTATTTATTCACACGATGGCGCTACTGTGGTACAAGAACAAGTTACGCAGGTACGCGATCTATTATCTAAAGTCTTAGGCCTCGGCCTCGAATTTTGCGGACAGCGCAGCGGCGGTGGGAGCGGCAGGACCTTACTACTTAGTTATCAGCTAGTTTGGAGAACAGTATGCGTTGCCGTGCCGCCGCCGCTGCCGCTCCGCTGCCCGCAAAATTCGAGGCCGAGGCCTAAACGCTGAAACAGCTGTAAAACTTCAATGCAATTTTAAATTGTGAATTGGCTGAGTTATCTAAAAATGGAACATGAAAAACGCATAAGAAAGTAATAAAATATATCTAGTTTATATTATAGTAGAACATTATAAATAAAATCGCGAAAATAAAAGCGATTCGTGTTTAAGTAATAATGGTTTAATGATTAATAAAGTTTGTTTTACTAATACTTATATTGATTTGTATAAGATATGCTTTAAATTTGTTTAATCTATTAAAAAATCTTTCTTAATACACTTCTCAAACTTTATTATACTTAAAACTCAGTTCTTAGAATATATATTATATATTTTTAATTGGAATCATGTGATGCAATTCTTGCCAATGGACCTTATGTCAGATTGATTTATTCTCTAATATTATTGACTAAAGTTGTCGAGTTTGTAGCTAGCTTTATTTCTTGCAAGTCAGAAATTTATGTTAATTTATACAATGTCATTATATTAACTCTACGTTCCAATTGCATTATAATATATTTTTTATTCACCTAAAATAATACATTTCTCGTTCGACTATATAGTTTTGTTTTTAAAAATATCATGCATTTTAACATTTATTACGTAGAACATAAAAAACAATATTTTAAACTGCATTGTTTTGAGTTTTATGCTTGCCGTCGCTAGGTAACGTTGAGTGAAGGTCCTGTTCTCAGGGCGTTTACAACCTGAGCCTCGACTTTTCCAGAGATTTCTGAGCGATCGTGAAAGCTAATTGTGACCAAAGTACTGTGATGCCTTTTTATTTTCTTAGCGATAGTGTTGGCTACTAGCAGACATATTTTCTCCTCTATGGTAGTAACTGTTTATGACTTACCATTTCAGTGGAGAGCTGTTTCAGGTATCCCATTATCTTCCCCATCGCCATCGGGTTATTATTCTTGTTGAAGCTCATGGTGATCACTTCACAATTTACAAAATTGTCCTAAATTATAGTCAAGGTACGTGAAAATGATAGTGTCTGTGCTGTGTAACACTAATGGAAGCCAAATTGTTTCTTTTATAGTCAAAAAGTGTTTTTAAATCCAGATTCAATAATAACCACAAATAAATTAAATCACTGCACTCGATAGTTAGTTTGAAATGTCAAGAACGAAGCAACCATTCGCTAAATTTGACACAGTTTAAAAATACGTCTGTTTCCAATTCACAAAAGAAAAAAATGTTTTCATTCAATGAAATTTCTATTTCGCGCCTTTATGCTGTAAGTGTGCACAACATTCAGGTTTTTGTTTTTAAAAGATGCTCCAATAAACTAAAATGTTGGCAAAGCGTACCGTATGCTTTAGGAATCAAGTTATCAATTGAAACTTGCAGATGGCAGCGTAGTGTTTTATAGAAGGTTGGTAGCGCACGGCGTGGCGTGGCGTCGAATGCCCGACACCGACACCCCCCCACCAACTCTCCGGCTCCCCCCAACAACTCCTTTACATAGCGTTACCATTTACACAACAGTCGAATGTTTAAAATAATTATTTACCAGTTAAAACTGTGTTTTAGTAAGGAAAACGGGTTCTTCCATTATCAACGTAAAACAAGGTCAGCTTATACATACATATTCATGGATATAATTTTAGATGTAATTTCTTATAGTACAATTAGACTTTAGAATAAATATTAAACCATCAGTAGAACCATATAATTTATTATCTATCCTTACTTAAGCTACAGTCCAGTTTCTACCATTCGTGAGAGTATCACAGTTGTAATTTTAAGCAAGAAACGTCTTATGTTTTTCTTTAAGAATGTCCCGTTTAGATAAAACATGGATCCCTGACCAGTTAAATCAAATTATTAAGTGCAATTAGAAATATGAAAGAAACTGAAACAGAATATGTTTAGTCATGGCTATTTTTGGCATATTAAGTTTATTTGCAACCTATTTAAATCGTAAAACAATTAGACATTGGCTAATTTACAATTTTTCCATCTGATGCATGACTTACACCATACATTACTTCAAATTACCCAATTTCAGGAAATAGTGACGTATGTCTAATAATACATTCTAATTATCTTCTAATTACATCTCCAACATTTGAAACAGACACACCTCTATTTAATGAATCATCAATTTTTTGTTTAAAATGTAAACGTGATAAAAATATATGCATTAGCTATATAAATATATCAGCAAAAAATATTGTAGACGTGCTATTTCTGCATGTTTTTCTTGTATTTCAAGATAAATAATTTAAAGAGGCGTGTCGTGTACGTCATTACACTGACCTAAGGAGTTGGGGAACCACTTGAAATATGTTCTAATCGGATCGCTTTAGATAAATAATATTATATTATAACTATATCTCTCTATATTATAGAAAATTTCATACATTTTACGATCAAATAAATAAAATAGCATCTTTATTTCTTGCTTCACATAATTAACAAAATAAATTATAAGTACTAACAGGAAGATATATATAATTTTGTAATATAATTGTAACTTATAGTAGTTTAAAAAAATATTATTATTATTTAATTGGCAAAAACCGCGGTTTGGGTAAAGGCCCCCTCCAAAGATGCCCATACATCTATATCTCGCGTAAACTCTGTCCAGTTTTGACCTGCCGTTTGACTGATGTCGTTTTCCCATCTGGTTAGTGGTCTCCCACGACTTCTCTTTCCATCCCTGTCACCCTCGCTGTCCATCTCTGGTCTGTATATCTCATGTCGTGGCCTGCCCATTTCCATTCCATACGATCAAATAGTTCCTGTAAAACATTTAAACGAACGTTTCCGATTAAATCTTTAATGAGATTTTATTGAAGACTACGGACTTTTCATTCCATTAATAAAACACATGATTTAATACGTCCATCTATTTGTATGCTGGTTGAAATTCAAATGTTTCTTGCAATATATATCAGGAAGAAAACAGAAGTAGCAATTAAGTGCAATTCTTAAGGTAACGAAATGCAAGAGCTTGTCTTCCTAGATAGTTCTTTTTATATTGACGTAATTCAAATGCGGATATTGCAGAATTGATAATGCAGAAATATAAAATCAATGGTAATGAGAATCATATGAAAAAAAAAACTTGAAAACATTAAAGTTGAGGAAACTAATAATAAAAAAATATATTTTAGAAACGTATTATAATTAAGCTTAGATGTGAGATGCGTTGGACGTGTCGTACGTCACGTGCGCTCCCAGACGCTGGGATAGTTGCACTGATGAAAGATTCATGGGTGTATGGGTGCGGATGTGTGTGTGTGTGGGTGAGCCGCGCCTCCACCCAAACGGGTACGAGCTTTCGTCACATCAGATGTCAAAGCTTCGGTCACGCGTCTCAAAATAGAAATACTGCGTGACTCGGTTAACGTTCACAATGCAATTTTCAGAACAAATCGATACCTTCCACGTTAGTTGTTGTATGCCACAAAATTTGCTATTTTGCTTTTTTTTGAAAAACATCCTATTATAGATCATTATTATTATTCACAGTAAAAAAACAACAACAAAAACACTATTTTTAAAGGATATGTCAGACGCAAACCTAATGTTGTAATTTTCAAATTTAGCAAATTCTTGTTTAATTTGAATCTTTGAAACGCTCTACTGTAAATTTATAGTTTTGGAGATACAATAACTTCGTGGAAGGTATCGCAATATTTTTACTAATAGGTATAATGTATGGTAGGTAAGGTTGTCTGGCAGAAATCGCTACTTAGCCATAAGACCGCCTTTTTGTACATTTCAATTTATTATTTTTTTCCGTGTATAATTTACTGTTTGTGGTGTACAATAAAATATATTCTATCTATATAATATAATTATTGCTTGACCACTGTTAGGTTTTTATCTTGTGGTTTATACAAATTTGAATAATTATAGGTTTATGTCAAATATCAATGAAGATTTTTATTTGCATATGATTTGAATGATTTTACACGTTTTAATAATGAATAAATCTCGTTAGTCCAATGGCCTCGAAGACTCTACTTCTTCGGATGGTTTGTAAATGTCACTTGAACTTGATAGACTCAGAGAATAAACTCAGAATATGTGAATAAAAATAATAAAAAATACCTTTTAAATGTCAGTAAGACTCTATTAATATATAATACATATGTATACATCAAGTTAATTTGTATGCTGGTTTTTGGGATATAATTCGGCACATAAAATATGCGATAACAAAATTTTTGTAGAACAAACATTGACTGTCTCGATAACGTTCTATGTAGTTTTATTTATACTTATTCCTCCGTTAGCTTCAACACTTGGTATTCGTCTTCGACGAAGTTGGTGTGGACGCACACACACGACTTTTCCACATGTATTCAACACACACAACCATACAGAATAAACTCGAATAGTTAGTGGAATAATACTAATGTGAACGGTGGCCAAGATTGTGGGTTCCGTAGATTTTCTCCAACAAGGTTTTTGCGGTTCAAGTGTTGAAAGCTGTTTTATAGTTGTTGAATGAGCGCGCTCTGCTGAATATAACTTTCGAACTAGTATAGAAGTTAATCTATGTATTTTAAATTAGTATTTTATATCGACAGGTGTAATAAACTAAACGTATTAAACAGATATACGTCGTTGACATTTTAAATGTACAGTAACTAGCAACGAGACATGTTTATATGAAGGATTACATGTATGGGGTTAATTTTGCAACGTCACATGTTTGGTTACTTTCCGAGACGATACGATAAAAGATAATTTATCATCATATTAATATGCAGATGCTTGTGTCACGCGTCTCGTTAAAACAGCAGTGTCTTATCTTATCAAATAATTCAGATAAAACATTGATTAAAAATTTCCATCATTAGTCTTAGGAAACGGAAGCTAAATTTCCACTTCAGTTTTGGATTTCATTAGGAAAGCTGAGAAAGTAAGCGAGGATTCTCAATAATTGAGTCGACGATATTTTTTCTCCTTCTTCCTCTAAGTAACGATATTATGTCTTTGGAATATTTCTATTAAATTCATATCGTTTCTAAAGATAGTTACAGACATCGGTACGTTGTAAAACGTTTATGGTTTCTTCGTGAATATCAAACACCTTATTAGAATGCAACCGATGAGTTCTGTATTCGCCTCCTAGTTTTCCGACAATAGAAAATAAATGAATATATGTATAAGTTATTGTAGGTCTTATTATTTATGAGATCGAATATCGAGATATGTTATAGGCATGATAAATCTGGATGTACTGTATATTACTGCAAACGAAACTTCGAGATAAAAGCTATGTATTAAACACTGACTCACAAACACATGAGTCACGATGTAATTTGGTCGGATTTTTTGATTATTTCTTAACTTTAAAATTAAGCTATAATACCTTGTAATAAGAGTTAAGGGCAAGTGACACTTGCTTTCGGTACAGGTGGCGACGGCCGTCCTTGCATCAAGGTGCACTGTTGCGTAAAAACAACGTAAAGATTGTCCGAACGCGTAATATGAATAGTGAATTGATGAATGAAGTTTCGATTTCATCACTTCTATTATCGGTAATCTTTGCGTGCAAAATCTTAAAAGCCGATGTAAATAATAATAAAGTTATCAAAAAGTTTCAAACGTGATATCTATTGTGAATTTTGCAAATCTCATAATGCTGTACTTCGTTCTATAGCAACGTTATTTAAAATAAGAAAAATTATTTTAATTGTATTGGACCTAGATATTATCTAATTAATTATTTTTCGTTTCAAGTATACTTAGCACAAGTTTCCAACGTTGGGCATCATACGTCATACATTCATCGGCATCATACATTCAACGTGACGCTCCCATCGCCCACTGGTGTATTCCGGTGCAATCAGTGACGGGGGGAGGGCTGGGGGTACAGCCCTGGGATTCAGACGGTCACGGAGCTGGCAGGAGGCCGACCGTGGCTGTCTTGGAGCGGAGGGGATACTCAGGTATCTCCTGACGCCTGAGTTCGCTTGTGGTCGGTCGGTTACCTCTCTGTCTGCCGTCGGGCGCTTGCGCTCGTCGGTGGGTGGTTGGACTGGCCGCTTGGGCTTGGGTGGGAGGGGTAAGGGGTGAACCCTCTCGCGATTTAGCAAGCCCGCCAGGCGGGGGGACGCTCCTGGTCACTTGGAGTGAGCCCTCGGGGGGGGGGGGGAGGTGGCTGTTCGTGGCCTGCCGCCGGATCGTCGCGGATGTATGCTTCGGTGATTCCCATGGCGATCCACTAGGCGGTGTGAGAGTGACCGCTGGTGTTTTAGTGGGTAGCATGGGCCCTTCTGGCCCTTGAATTCCACATTACCGCCTCTGTCTCCCCTAGACGGAGGGGTAGGTATAAAACCTTTCACCGAGTTAACAAAAAAAAAAGTTAAGTTAACTTATGTAGTGAGCCTTCAAAACGGGGTATCGACGTACATCATGCGTCATTTTTACTCTTTTGAGGCAGGAGATAAGCTTCCTATATTACTAATATCCGTATCAATATAGAAGTCTTTCCTTGTCATCATCATGGTAAAAAATACACAAGATTACACAAAATCTCATTTCTTCATAAAAATGTACTAAAATAAATAATGTATTGATTTTTTTTTCAATTTTCCAATTCTTTCATTTTTTTTCTAATCTTTCATAGCTTTTAGGGATTGCATATTTTATCTTAGTGTTAAAGCCTATTTATTGTTCACAGTTAATTTCAGTAGTACCTATATCTTTATAGTTTCAGTTAACAGTAGGAGGGCAAAGGGCATTCATTTTTCATTTATTCTCATGTATGTAAACTGCTAATTAGGCAATAATATATATTACTGTACGATATCATAAAGATTCTAAGGCAAATACACAATCGTGTTTTAGCAAAACAATCGGTATGAATACATACATATATAATACCTCTTAGTTGCTGAGCATTTATCTAAAAGCGACTTTCCATTTTAGACAATTTTACAAGTTTCTCTGACAGTCAGAATACAATTTAAAATTTACATACATATATATTATTTGTTTATATAATAAATGTACAATTATAATACCCGCTATTGTGTAAATAATATTTTCCCATCTTTCAGGCCAAAGTTTATGAAAGTAAAATCAACGGTCACAATTCAAACACGCTACAACGATACATTTCCGTTTTCACTTTTTAAAACAATTGAGTTATTATCACGTCAGTTTTTCCTTATGATTGTTTTCGTTTATCACTTTATTAAATTACCTTTATCATATTAAAACTTTCCTAATATATTTAACACAAAAATTTTACAAATATTTTCTCAACACAATTGATGTGATCGTGTAATCACTTAGTAATGTTTACTTCAATATGTAATCCTTGTTTGTGTGTTTTCTTAAATATTTAGCGGTTAGAAGATTAATTAGTACCGAGATAAAAAATAACATATTAAGATTCATACGAGGATAGTCGTAGACATGTACATGTATTATGTAAAAGGCTAGTTATTTGATTGTTTGGACTTGGTAAACTAAAGGCTGATTAGTAATTAATGAAAATAATATTTTAAAAAAATGTTCACATTTGTTCTTATAACCGATATAAGTTTTTTTTTATTTGAAAGTTCAAACGGGCAGACGGCCTACTTGATGGGCAGTAGTCACCGTCGGCCATAGACATCGGCATCATCTCTGTTGCGAATGCGTTGCCAACCTTACTTGTTGAGGAGTGAGAACAGGGAAAGAGCAACCGGCTCTCTCACTCATCGAGCGAGATGCTGTGATTAATGACTAGGTACTTAACACCGATCTTCTATGAGAGGGTGGTTCCCCTCTTCCCTGGTCGAGCCAGCCCGTATTCAAGCTATAGTTACTTAACCACAGCTAGGCTTTACCACCTACAAGTTTTTTCAAACTATGTAATATGCTCAAAATTTCTCATTCCTTTTATTTTTAGAAAATATGATCTTTACCTATGTACTTTACTGCTGTTTTTACATATATTATATGATTTATAATATAATTGAAAAATATATTATGTAACAATATAACAGATGTTAATTTAACAGCTATTAAGAAAATAAACTTGCTAATGCAATCGTGTTTGCGATCACGCGATGTCTTGTAATGGCGCCATTGGCTGAAGTGCTTATTCAGTTTTGCTGACTGTCTTTGTACGCAAAAAGTATTTATATGTCATAGGATTTTTTTCTATTTTTAAAAACTGTATTACTATTTTTTGACTCTTAACTGACTTGATTCATGGTACTTCAATTAATTATTTACGTTAAGACATTTTAATTTCGGCATGTCATTTCGAAATTTCGTTTTATATTAAAAATAAATGCTCTAGAGTTTTTAAGAAACAG